GACACGCCTATTCTATCGAACGCCTTCAGCGCTCGTCGTGCGTACGTACGTACCTAGGGGGTGTAAGCCCCATCCGATCGAAAGAGGCCTTGTGGACGACCGGCCACTCCACCGCCTGCCTCAGCCTCGCCTTCGCCTTGTCCACGAGAGGAAAAAAAAAGGGGAAACGCTGCCTGTTGTCTGTACTGATACCATTCATCACACATGGCACTACTTAGCACCAGGTTCCAACCAACGCCTACACCCTAGTGGAGCCATGAAGAATCCTCACAGGGATTGCCTGCATCTTACGCCTTGCCACCACATCATACAGGCAGCCGTTTCAGCCATTGCCATCTACGTTGCTCAAAGGAGGGCCTGGCATATATAGCGGCGTACAACGGGCCCTCCATTTGGAAACGTCGGAACACCCTGGGCTACGCTGCAATCTTGGTCGCGGGGGGGGGGGGGGGGGGGGGGGGCCCTTTTTTTCCCCGGTTGGGGAAATTTTTAAAAAAACCCCGGGGTTTTCAAATTTTTGGGGGGTTTTTTCAGGGGCGCCCGGGGGGGTTCCCCCACAGAGAGTTGGGGAAATTTTGGAAACCCCCCAGAAAAAGGGCTCCACCTTGGGTCGGGGGTTTTTTTCCTGGGGTTGGAATTTTTTAGGCCACCAAAAACCCCAAAAAGAAAGAAATTTTCTGGGTTTTGAAAAGGGGCCCGAAAATTTTTTCAAAAAAAAAAATTTTGTTTTTTTTTAGGAACCATAAATTCCCAAAAAATAAATGGCGCAAGGGGGCCCCCCAAACCCCTTTTATTCCACCCAATTTTGGCCCGGGGGGGGGGGGGGGGGGGCGTCCACGATTTCCACATGGAGGGCCCCTTGCCCTACTGGAGAGGAGTCTCTCTCTCGCTCTCTCCCGTCTGTCTGTGGTTTCGTTCATCACAGCATTCTACTTGCGTCCAAAGAGAGCGAAGCAACAAGAAGCACTGCTGGTTCTCCAAGAGATTTGTCAACAAGTGAGTGTTGGGCAAGGTAAAGGTCCTACGGGATCGCGGTAGATATCGCAGTGTATTCATCCGTATGTCCGTATGCACGCACTTGTCTAAAAAACCTCAACTGATAGATGACGCGGGCACTTCTTATAGTTGGCATTGATCAACTGAAGGAAGAAGAACCAACCGCCGTGTAAAATTTTTTACTTTGTTCTCTCGCGTTTTTTTCTTTCGTTCTTCAGCTGGCAATCAGTGTTCTCAGGAAAGGCTCACACAGGCTCAGATATATATGCCCAGTAGGCTTTCTTGCCCACTCCCTGAGCACTCCCTGCAACACGTCAGCTTCGACTCTGCGGCATTTCTACGGAGAGTGGTATCGTCTCGCACGGGTAGTCTTTCTCAAGATACGTTTATTTCCGTGCACGGATTCTTCATTATATTATTACTCAGTTAAACTCATCATCCTGTCAGTGTGTGCTCCGTTGTGCGCATGCCAGGCATACCTACTGCTGCTGTACGAAGCAGCCTCTAATTACTTACATGTTGTGCACTATCTAAAAGCTACCGCTCAATCAAATCAATTCACTACCTCAAGCAATCAATGAATGATGTTCCACACAACAACCAGGACCGACCGCCGTGTTGGCGCGATATTGTGCTGATGATGTGGGATCGAATGTTGCTCCACCCCCAGTCATTATTACTACTGCTGTAAGACGCGTTGTGGCGATGGTCCGTTCTTCTTGTGTTTTTTTTTTCATCCAATCAATAGACTACCACCACAGGCAGGCATGCACGTAGTGTCAGCGGAGGCCACTACTGCCGTATTTCCACAATTAATTGATTCCCCCAAGGAAGGGCAGCATTCTACAGCGATATCTGTAACAAGCTCTTCTAATGTAGCTAGCTGCATGTTATTAGCTGGGAAGAAGAGGTAGGTGCAGAAGGGAGCTGTTTTGTTGTTGGGATGGTGATGTTGAAAGTGCAACTTTCAAACCCCCATCAGTCGGTGTGTAATTGCACCAATTAATTTGTACACAAACAACTCTCCCTCCTCTCTCTGTTTTTTTGCCAAGCGGCGAGGGAGGTGTGTCAATTTTGTGGGCTGGGAGAGCACCTACGGTCTGTGCTCGTGGCGAATGTATGAAACGACGGCTCAGGTTTTGTCCCTGACCAACTCACCTCTCTCTCTCTCTCTCTGGTCAAACCTCTTCGATTAATTAATCTCTTCTTGTTCTTTCTTCAGCAGGTAGTCTATAAGGTATGTAGGGTGGGTAGTATGTATGTATGCATTTATTTGCAGCAAGCCAGAAGCTTCCTTCCCCTTTTACCTCATCAACCCTCGCGCAACTGCAAGCAAGGTCATGGTAAAAATAATAATAATATGCACTTTTTTTGTGAATTCAAATATCGATTAACAGCGAGCGGAGTTTTTCAAGAAAATTGTAATTCTCCGCGACAGAGTATAGATAGGCGTTGATCTTTGGAAGAATCCTGTTTCTCTCTCTGTTTTGGACCTATCTATCTATGCAATGCTATGTACACAACATCTATCTATCTGTTTATCAAATCTATCTTCTTCGTGTGCGCCGCTGGGTTGTTGGTTTCTCTCTTTTTTCTTTGGTGATGATTGTGGTTGATGTTGTTTGTTGTGTTGTTCTTGTTGTTGTCTTCACATAAAAACAAGCCATTTCGGTCCCCGCTCGAGTACTGGTCTCTCTGTAGGTACTGGTCCAACTGACGCAGGACGCGGACGCCTCTTCCTTTTCGTGGTCACAAGCCAAGCCAACTACAACACCCAACAAGGGTTGGGCACACTTGGGCCTCCAGTTCTTTTTTTTTTCTTAATATTTTTTTACGTATTGACACTCTGCTAGTGACTCTTCCTATCTAAGCTGTTTCGCGCCGTCTGATTGGCCAGTTGGCGTTGGTTCCTAGCCTTGACCCTCTCCAGCGCCCTCTCACCCGCATTCCGAGAACGCAGCCGCGTTCTCAACCAGTTCGCGGCCGCTAGGCCGTGCGTTGGCCGTGGGTGAGGGTTAGGATTGGGTTGGGTTAGGTCGGCCACGGTGTGTCCTAGCCACATGTCCTAGCCTTCAACACCGGTTAGACTAACAGACCGTAAATAGACATCTGGGATACACAGCAGTCGAGGTTCCAATATAATAGTGCCAGACACCACTACCATACTGCATACGAGTGCCGGTGAAATCGGCTGGCTCGGATTGAGCCTGGTCATTCTAAAACCTATATATATCCCCTGTTCTGAAGAGCGCCACCGGCCTGCTCATTCATGCCGTCCCCAAATCGGCACCTCGTCACGGTCATGAGGCATGTGATGCCTCACAACGAAAATTAATAATAAATTTAGAAGAAACAATTCAGACCACAGCAGTTTTTACTCCGAAATTACTCAGAGGTGGTATTGTTCCGTTCGTTCCCGGTTGGCCGTGCCGATCCTCACTCGAACGGACTTGCTTCCGAACAGAATCAAAACTTGACACTACTGCTGTAGTACTGCTGTATACCTGATCTGTGCACAGGTCAGTCATCAGGTATGTACTGTTAATGACTTCACAGGTGGCTTCTCGAACGTATATAAGAGCTGCGTAGCATCCGTGATATATTTTTCATCATCTCATATCTGGCGCGGCAGGGGCGTGTGTGTGTGTGACGTTGCGCGTACATTTCGTAAAAATGCTATTCTTTGATATGCTGTTCTAGGTCAGTTCCTGCCACAACGCCACAACCCCGACGCCGCACCCGCGAAGATAATATATTGTATGCATACAACCTTCGGGCAAGCCAAAACGACGCAAACACAAACACCGTCCGTGTGTGTCTGCGGTGCCCCACAGCAAGCACCCAATAATAAATACTCCGTGTCATCCACGGCCTTGATGGGTAACGCACGCGGTGGTATTTTGGACCCAACCCGCCTTCACCTGCTTCTTCTCCACCGTCAACCTGCCTGCCGTAGACAATAGACCGAGAGGCAGGTGGATCCGCGAATATTCGCCGGGGGCCGGAATTATTTTGCTGAAGACTTGAAAAAGAACAAAGAAGCTTTACTGGAAAGCTGGAAAGCTGCCTCTTGGCACAACACAACCTGCGGTCCTTCCTTGGAGACATAGACAAGATGCAACCCACACCACGCTCCACCCCGGTCCGGGGCGCGACTGATATGGAACAGAAGAGGCGCATAGCGAACAGGATCCACTGCCGGGAAACGCGCGAGAGAAAAAGGTATGGACGCCTGTTGCACAGCAGCCGATACCCACCCAGAGAGCGAGCGGGACCGGAAATGACATATACCACTGCTCCTTTGTGCTGCTATTTGACTTGTTTAATGTATAGTGTGTGGTGGAGTGTAAAAGATGCGTACCAAGAAAACCCATCGTCCCGCCACTGGGTCCCAAAGTCCAACTGAACTGCAGCTGGTACCACTCTTGCTTGCTTTTCTTCTGCTTCTTGTGCTTCTTCTTGTTTGTGCTGTTTGTACGCGACTCTTGGTCGGTGGTTGTGCTGCTGCTACCTACCACAGACGGGCTGAAGCGCTCCTGAAGGAGGTAAGGACATATATATATATGTGGATGGCCTTTCCGGTGTTAGGAAGAGGAGATGCATAAGCAACGGCGGTGGGATGGCTTCTTTTTGGGATTGGGATCGGTGTGGTGGTCCAAAGTTCCAGTTTGTGGGCCCGGGACGCGCGTTCTGAATTCTGAATTGATTTCTGAGGCGGCAGCCCCTTTCGGCTCGGTCCGCATGCTCAACGGTGCTGCTGTGCTTGGCTACTGCTGCCTGTGGCGTTCTTTGTCTCTCTTTGCCGTGTACTGCGTGTCTTGGTGCTTCAGCCAGTAGGGTCTATCAATCTCTTTTTTTTTCTTGGAATGTGGAGACATTTTTTTATGAACATTTCCGCACTTACTTC